ATAATTGGGTCCCTAGTTGATTTATATTGGGTTATATATAGCTATATATAGGGTTATATACATTGGGTCTGTAAGATATATGACGCTCTACACTGTATCTGTAAGGTTTAATTAATTTTTTTTTTTTTTTTGACAGGCAGAGTGGACAGTGAGAGAGAGAGAGACAGAGAGAAAGGTCTTCCTTTTGCCGTTGGTTCACCCTCCAATGGCCGCCGCAGCCAGCGCGATGCGGCCGGCGCACCGCGCTGATCCGATGGCAGGAGCCAGGAGCCAGGAGCCAGGTGCTTTTCCTGGTCTCCCATGGGGTGCAGGGCCCAAGCACTTGGGCCATCCTCCACTGCACTCCCTGGCCACAGCAGAGAGCTGGCCTGGAAGAGGGGCAACCGGGACAGAATCCGGCGCCCCGACCGGGACTCGAACCCGGTGTGCCGGCGCCGCAAGGCGGAGGATTAGCCTAGTGAGCCACGGCGCCGGCCATTAATTTTTTTACAAATAACTCTGCTTGATAGGCAACTTGTTTCCATTTTTCATATGAGGTATCAGAATCTCCAGAAGTTGAAATAATGTGCCCATAATCTCAGACTTTATTCATGTCAGAACCAGGAGATTCAGGAGCACAACTCCGGCATTTCTGACTCCAAAGTGGGTGTTCTTTCTGCAGTGTTCAGTGGCCTCTGAAAAGACCATGAGTTTCATCCAGTCTGAAGGAGAAGAGTACATAACATGGGAAGGCAACAAGATATGACTTGCTCAGGAATAAAATTCTAACCCCCTACACCATTTACCCAATGACTGTGAACAATAGTCCCCCTCACTTGGCTTGTGTAAATAAGAACCATGTGAAGACCAAAGAAGCAGGTGGGCCCCACCAAGAGCCAGAACGCGTCCTGTAACTCCCTGCTGTTTGGAACAGACCTTCCCTGCACGGGACACCAGTGCCGGCATAAACACCTGCCACTGCACTGCCACTGATACAGGGGCAGCTCAGTAAGGTCATGGGGGCAGAAAATCAAGAATTGCAAGTTTTCTTGTCTACCAATAATTCTTTTCATAATGTGTTTTCGTGAACTTTTTGAAGAATCCTTCAATGCATGAATTTCGAATGTTTTGCACCAAAATAAGCTCATCTTTTAATTCCATTTTCTATGAATGTTTTGAGTTACCCTCATATAATAATAAGACTTGACAGAACCCAACTACCTCTCCTATTTCTGTCCAGAGAATAAAAAGTTCTTGATCTTGTACTTGGTTATTGAGACAAAAACATTGTTCTTCCCTTTGATTTTTGAGGGGGAAAAAGACGCATTCTGTATAAAATATATGTCAAACATACTCTCCCTAAAAGATTGTGTCATTTCACACTTGATTCTGCTGTAGGAAGAGGGTGTTTTTGTTTTGTTTTGCTTTACTTTTTGTATTCTCGAGTATCGTACAATGCAAGGGTAAGATCAGTGACGGTGTCCTTGCCAACTATTGTTCAACAGGCTTCTCTAGGTTTATATGATGGGTGTGTGGAAATGATGCAAACACATTTGGTGCTGTCTAGAAACATATTTAAACTTGAAAGTGGAGGCAAAAATTCACCCAAAGTCATTCATTCTATATTTTTGTGGGACACACCTAAAATGTTGTTTAAGGAAGCTCACCTCAAGTTTCTTGTTTGCATGCTAATGTTTTAAATCTTCCACCCAATGTCACAAATGTTTTAAATCCAGAAATTCTGTGGAGATGTCAGAGTATCTGTAAGCAAAGAAGTAGAAACCCATGCTAGAATTATTATTTTGAACAAGCTATTGACGGCTATAATAAAGTTATAGCAACTGGACTGGGGAATGTAAAGTTGGTTAATGGACTTTATTTAGACAACATCAGATAAGGGCATTCGTAATAACTGTTATCTTGATGGGTAACCCTAAATTCAAGAAAATGTTTCCCCAAACACAAGTTGTTGTGAATTCCTTTCCCTTTTATCTTACTGCAGAAAGAAGATTACAGTTTCCTATTATGAAATAGCATCATAAAATGCAGAGCACAGCCACCCAGACTGAAACCACCTTTCTCCTCTGCTGATATAGACAAAGTAGCAGTAAATGCTTTTTGAGCTCCTGGCGTGCAGATAAATTCCTACAGACATCTCCAATTGGACTGAGAGATTGAGAGACACAAGGGAGAGAAGAGCTGAGGCCAGGAGAATTTAACATGGCAATTAGCAACCCTTCGGCGTTGCTAGACCCCACAGCACAAGACAGGATGCAAGGAACCACAAAATCTCTCCAACAGAGTAGATGATAAATTGGTTGGGTCCCAGGGGTTGCTGGACACAGTTATTATCCAATGGCAGGCCTGGATGATGTGAGAGTCTATGTAGTAAGGTCAGAAAATGAAACAGGGCTTTAAATTCCCAAGGAGCTGCTTCGCTTACATCTCTGCCCTTTCCCCTCATTGTGGACAACTCTGAATCCCATCACATAATCTGTGTTGCCTTCTCTATCTGAATGCAGAACTCCCCAAACATCAGGCATACAAACAACTCTAACCATCATCACCAATCATTCTGTCTATGGAAAGTCAGAAAAGTGAAAGTGAAATCAAAAATATTTAAAGACTTCTGTCTTAAATAGCAGAAGGAGGGTGTATAGGAGAAAAGACATCCCAATCCTCTTTCAGTAACCAGATAGCTGCTTTTGGGCATTGTTTTAATCACCATACATGGTTTGTAACTAACTCTCCATTTCTTGGTGTCTTAGTTTAATGACTAGAAAAGAAGGGGTCCACTTATGTCACCAGCGTCCCACGTCAGAGTGCCAGTTTGAATTCTGACTGTTGTGTTTTCAATCTGTTTTCCTCTTAATGTACATAGGAAAACAGCAAAAGATGGGCCAAGTGCTTGAGTTCCTGTCACCCTTGTGGGAAAACCAGATGGAGTTCTGGCTCCTGACTTTTGCCTGGAGCAGTTGGGCATTTAGGGAGTGAACTTGTAAATGGAGGCTACTCTCTCTCTCTCTCTCTCTCTCTGCCTTTCAAATAAATAAATCTTAAATAAAAGAAAATTAGGACTGATGCTATTACCTCTATAATATTGCATAAGCTTAAAGGAAGTAATTCATGTTAAATATGTTAAATGCTAAAAGAGTGCCTGGCACTGAGGAAGCTCTCAATATGTGTTAGTGAGGACAGTCATGATGCTGGTGTTGGAAAAGAAGAAGATGGTGATGATGATAGAGTGACAATAGTGTGTGGCTAACTTTTATAATCCATAGAGCAAGGACCATGTTGGTCTTATTTGTGGCTAAAATCCCAACATCTAAGCACCCTGCCTGAAATGCAATTAATATTTATGGACGGACAACATGAATGATTACACGAGTTTTTTAAGTGCTGAATTCCACACTTGTGTTACTATTGATCTAGCTTAATTATGAGGATTATTAGGAGTCACTAAAAGGGACGTGGGAAATCAATTTAGTAAAATCACTATCATGAAGCCACATTTATTGAGGGACAATTATATATATATATATATGTGTATATATATATATGTATGTATATATGTATGTATGGCTTGGAATTTCAACTTGAAAGGGATATAAAAAGGAACAAAATTCAGAGGATGGCCAAGGAGAGAGAAAGAGCCTACTCACACTATAATCCCTTTAGGGTTTCACAGTTTCACCATAACATTCTCGATTGGCCTGAGCCTATGACTGAAGAAAGTGGAAAGTAAGCCAGGTTGGACGAACCTTGTTTGCTCCCTATTTAATAGTCCAGCATTTATGTTGTAAGTTCTCTTGAACTTGTAACCTCATAGTTCAGAGCAATAATTTCAGAAGGAAGAGGCTAAACATGACTCCTACTTCCTGGCCTAATACCCTGGCTAAGATTTCATGGCCATTTTGTCTTTGTCCTGACAAAATGCCATTTGTGAGCCGTGCTGTTCAAAAAGCCAGCTAATTGCCAATTCTCTTTTTGCTCTTTTCTGTTAGTTTTTGTGACTGTGCCGTCACGAATGCTTGATTCTATCACCACATGTTTATGAGCTGGTATGGTGGGCAAAGCAACCAGAGTCACAAATTCAAAGAACAATGGCTCCCGTGCTCACCAACTCCCTGGGGACACCCCAGAGCTAAGTCAGCCACCCATCTTGCACAATCTCCCATGCCCCTTGGCCTGCTCTGCTTCTCCCCAAATCACCTATCTACCAACATGTTACATATTTATTCGCTTTTGTATGTTTTTCCTACTTTACTGCAAGTATGCCTGGGGCTGTGCTTGGCACCAAATAGACACTAGAAGTATCTGCTGAAATAATTAATGAATATTAGAAGGATTACCTTAATATGCATTACACTCTTTAAGCCAGGGGGGTGGTCACGGGGCTGTTTACTTCGTGATAAATCATTGAGCTGTATATTTTTCTCTCTGTGTTTGTGTGTGTATGTGTAATTTACAATAGTGAAGGCAAAAACAGAAAAAAAAAATCCAAGCTTCTTTAAAGATTAAAATCACAATACCGGGGCCAGCGCTGTGGCGTAGCGGGTGAAGCTGCTCTCTGCAGTCCTGGCATCCCATATGGACACTGGTTTGAGTCCTGACTGTTCCACTTCCAATCCAGCTCTCTGCTAATGTGTTTGAGAAAGCATCAGAAGATGGCCAGAAGAAGCTCCTGGTTCCTGGCTTCCGACCAGAGCCTCTCTAGCCATTGCGGCCATTTGGGGAGTGCAACAGTGGATGCAAGACTTCTTTCTCTCTGCCTCTGCTTCTCGCTCTCTGTAATTCCTCCTTTCAAATAATAAATTTTTTTTTTTAAAAATCACACTACCTTACTTACTTGTTTTCTGTACCAAGTAGTTCTTCATTGCCAATGTCAAAATGCATTGCTTGAGCAAAATACCTACATTTTATGTTTCCACTACTTAACCTAGGTTGCAAAGTGACTGTTGGGCTCATCATGTATAACCAAAACCTTTTATTGAATGTCTCCTCTGTTTTCCTTTCACCAGGTAAAAGTAAGTGTAAAGGCCGAAAATTCTTGAGAGGGTGACAACTCTTCACATGAGTACACTAGCAAGCCACCCCCTCAGACTTGGAGAATATGCAGATTTTAAGTCGATTCCCTAAAATGGGAGGGCTGAAGTCTTCACAGGGGTGCACAGAAGACCGGTACACCAAAAACTTCATCTTTGTGGGACAGATCTTTTTCCAGACTGCAAGTGGGTATGAAATTATATCCAGATTCAATGTAAAAAGTCACAGATGCAATGAAAAAAATCCAGTTTGGCTTCAGTATTCAAAATAAATTCATTTGATGAGTGTGTTCTGCATTTTAGAACATAAATCTGTCTCATAGATAAAATGTGGCTGGCAAGGCTGATGAGGATTCAGCATGGAGAATGAGGGATGCATGGTTTTGGCGATCTTATCCTTGCAATTCCTTCCCCAGTGAGTCTCGGCAAGAGATGACCTCCACCTGGAACAGACATCGCCCATTTGCCCATGTGCCAGAGCCAGAATTTCACGTCTAGGGCTACGGCTACATTTGGTAAACAGGTTAGGGTCAGTTGCATTAAATAAATGTTTTTCTTGCTTTTGAAAGCCAATGTTTTGGAAACCAAAGGAAATAATTATGTCCTACTTAAGGGAGGTTTATTTTAAAGCCTAGCTAGGGCCCCACAGTGCCACTGCTTCCATTTTTCAGAATTGATTTTCCACCACATACACCATTACTGTGAAGTTAGGTGCAGTATTTCCTCTCAGTAACCATGATGCAGTGTCTTTGGAATATTTCCTGGTGTCTCCCACTTTTTCTACCTGTGATACTCATTTGGTCGACTCTGGCTTTCCAGGAGAACTTGCATCATGGGTCTCCCACATATTGTTGTCCTGCATGACCCAGGAAGATAGGGAATCAGAAAACTTTGCAAGCAGAATTTTAATCACTCCTTGGAAACGAAGGCTTTGCTAGCATTAGTCTTCCCTCAATAAGTCTTATTCACTTTCACATACGAAGCATTAAGGCCTGCACTAATCGGTTCTCCTCCTATTGCTCCCCAAGGCAAACTTGGGAAAGAGGAGTTGGTCTTTGGAGCTTATCCGAGCCCCTCCCCTCTCTCCTCTCCCTCCTCTCTCCTGTTGGGAGCATTCACTGTCTTCTCCTTCCACGAGGCCCTGTGCACTAACTCCCTCAGGTCTGGAAATCCACCCAGGCCCTCCTCCACGATGTGATGTCAAGGCACAGTGTGCCAGCTGCCTTCCAAGCTCACCTACCTATATCCCATCCATGCATGTCTGCTTCTTATTTCCAAAGCCAGCTATGAAAGCAGCTAAGTAAAGTTCATATCTCACAAAAAATCCACAGTGGTCTCCCCTTATTTATTGTCTGACGTTTCAGTTACCTGTGGCAAAATGTAGTCTGAAAATATTAAATGAATATTTAAAGAGAGAGAGAAAGCACTCACATGACTTTTATTATGGTGTATTGTTATAACTGTTATATTTTTGTTATTGTTCATTTCTGGGCATAACACAATTTATCACACCTGTATAGATATAGAAAAAAAACATAGTATACATAGGATTTGATACTATTCATGGTGTTGGGCCTCACTGGGGATCTTGGAAAATGCCCCACATGTAAATGGAGACAATTGTATACATGATTTTTGAGGCAGAACTCAATGGGCTTAGGGAAGGTCTCAATTCCATTCCTACTGTCCCACACAGGATCTGGGAGACAAGCCTCATGGTTTATAAACCTTGGTTTTCCCACCTATGAAATGGGACTGACAATAAATATTCTGTGGTGTTAAAAGGCTCAGGTTAGGTGAAGTAGGTGCGTTTGCTAGTGAATTGTAAATTTTCCAGCTGTATAATATTGTTTTAATTACTGATCTTTGGGAGAAATTAACCCCTTCTCTACTGACGGAGCAAAGGTCACAACACACTCTCCAGTATGTCATGTGCAGGGCTTTTCCAGAAAGCAAAGGATGGTTTGTTCTCAAGATTTCAGAAACAAATGCTCCGTTTCCAACTTGAATCCCACACCCAGTGCCTGACCCCATTCTCTCCATTCATAAATGCTTTAGCTCTTCGTATCTTCAGTGTGAAAATTCATAAATGCTTTAGTTTTTCATACTTTTGGTGTGAAAAGTCTCCAAGAAACCCAACCCTCCCTGGGTCAGTGGCTTACCTTGGAGGATCAGTGTACACACAATGATAGAATTTACATTCTGGAAGTGAGATTCGTGTCTCTGTTCCAGGCCTATTGCCCTACTAGATAAAACCAGGGTAAGCGGCCCTGGGAAGGGATGGAGCACACTTCAAGTTCATTAGGAACCACAGGTCAGAGGGGTAGAGTCGAACTGAGTATTGTGTGGCCCTGGATGACATCTAGGGGGCGCCAGTCCTCAGGGAAGCCCTCATGGTACAAAGTTCTCAAGGACCAGGCCCCAGAGGGAGTCTGCTCACTCACATCTGTGTGTCTGCTTCCTGAGAATTTTCAAAATGTGTGAGTATCGATTGTAAGATGGCAGAGAAGAGCAGAGCAAAGAAGGAACTATTCTGGAAGCTGAAACACTGAATACTGCTATACCAAAGAGCATGTGGGCCTCAGGAGAGGAGAGGGACTGAGACAAGCCAGTCTAGAAGGTAGCATTGCCAAAGCTGCAGCACAGTGCAAGGAATTCTGCTGGGGGTGCGTTTTCTGGCCTCCTTTCTTATACAGTTGGCTCCCAGTTTCCATTAAAATGGAATCTTAAAGGAGAATCCCCAAGGGTCAATTTCAGTTAGAAAAATACTTGCAATGATTTTTATTGGCTTAAGGCTTTGCCACCAATACTCCTAGCTGTGTCTTGGTATGAGTTTGATCTAAAAAAAAAAGTCTGAATGCCTCACATCTCTAAGTTAAAACTTCTTCCCAAGTGTTGAAATTAAAACACATTGGTGTAATAAAAGCACCACTTAAATTTATTGTGAAAGGAAAATTCAAAGAATACAAGGTTCTGCAAGTCAATAAATGGTTGCTTATCAATGTAGTCATTGAATTGATTACAATCAGCCTACCCACTTAACATCACAAAAATCTGTGGCTGGCTTCATGGTGATTAGAATCAGATAATGAAAATACTGTGGGTAAATGTTCCTCCCCAGCTCCAAGGCATTGTCAGAAGTCTTGCTAGCTAACTCTTTGAATTACTGTGGTTCCTACAAAACTTTACTTGACAGCTCAGTGAGCGGGCAGCTCGCTGCTTTTCTAGCATTACTGAGGCTGCAGAACAAGAGCCGTGGGTTCATTTGAAAATTCTTTGAGTGTTTTCATCCTAGCTCGTGGCATCACATTATATTTTGGTGTATAGAAAGCGCAGTATGGGAGGAGGATAATATCATATCAAAAAGAACCCTGGAGATAGCTGTAAAGTATACCAGTTAGCAACTCGGCAGAGAACCTTCCATCAAACAACCTGAAATGAGGTTGCTTTGTTCATTAAACTGACCCTACATGAACCATTATTGCTATTTGGCTCTGAATTATTAAAAATCAGTAGCAAGATTTAGCACACCTCTAACTCCAGGCTCTCCTGTTCTTCAAGATAAAAACAGTCTCTCTTTGTGCTAGTTAGAAAACATATGTGAACGTACTAGCACTCAGCTTCTAGTGATAACCTTGTTAGTGTCTATATAACTGCATGTAACCACTCAGCATGACATCCTTTTCCATTTCTCTTTATGAATAATTTTGTTATACCTCATCCATTTTCTAGTGCTCTTTATTACAGCATGCTACTACATTTATTAGAGTTCCCATCAGAGAATTCTTCTTCTTGTTATCGTTAATAGTGCCATGTACTGCCCTCTCTTGACTGCAAAGCTGGCACTGTTCAAAACACATTTATGAGTTTATAACCCTTACATTGTAAATTCCTGCCAAGAACTTCCTAGGTGAAGAATACGTTTGCAATAAATATTTACACACAGCACCACCACTGCCGCTGCTGCAGCTTCCATGGCTACCACCGTCATCCTCACTGCTGTTAGAATTACAGTGCCAATGGACTGCCTTTTAGTCCACAGACAGGAGAAAACGCACAGGCTAATAACTCCTTCATTTAAACCTGCTGTGACCAGGCACCTCGGCAAGCTTGAAGGGAACAGGTGCTTGCATTTGGCGCTAGAGCGCCTACTTGAGGCTTTGAGCTGAACTGGGGGCTTGTTGGTTTCCGTGCAGCAACAGGGCTGTCCTGGGTTTTTCATGTGCTGGCTACCTCACCACGACTAGAGGCAGGAAGGGGCTGAGGGTAAACAGCAGCTGCAGTTGATGATGTCTTAACAGTCTGATCCCAGTGCCTTTTGGAGCTGGCAAGATTAGACACCAGTTGCCTGATACTGCCTTGTTTGGGTTCTCTTTAAGACCACCTTCACAATATAGCCGCCAACTCACCTACCCCTATGTGTGTCAATCATCCCTTTCTTGGGGGCGGGGGGGGGGGGAGGGTTTCCCCCACCCCAAGAGACAGGGTGGTCAGCTTCTGTTTATGTTCCATTCTTCCAAAGGAGGAGTAAAGGGGCTCAAAAGGGAGAAGGAACACTACTACTGGCAGCAAGATGAGAAAAGTGAGCAGGAGGAAACAGGGAGTAGCTACTACCACCCCGCCCAGAGTTTTCCAGCAATGGAGTTTGCCATGTGTGTATGCACACATAACCACACAGATCACTAAAAGCTTTCACCACTTTTTCTTAAAATGAATGTGCTCCTTCTTTCGTCAAACAATAAAAATACGCTGTTACAGGAAGATGTAAGTGCAGAGATGCCAAACATCTTATAATTTTTGGAGCTCACGAAATCCTGATTATGCAGCTGGCTCTTCAAAGTCCTAATGGATAGCAAGAGGCAGCCATCGCCAATAATGGGACCAGGTCACCAGGGGAAATCTACTGGGCTTCACTCATAATTAGGTTCTATTTTGATTCCCAGAGATGTGTTTCTCTACTACCAAGTCCAGGAACTGCTATCATATCAACCAGAGCAGTCCTTGGCAGACGGGCAGCAAATCCTCTCTCCCTCACAGTCTTCTGTTATTAGCAGTTGTACACTGAAGCTGCTTCTACTTTTTAAGAAAATCTCTTTGCTGTTGGCATCTAGCATATATATGCCATTCGCTGTGTACCAGTGTTTAGATGGACTAGCCTTTGACACCGTTACTTCCCTTTCAAGTGGCAGATTTAGAGACAAAATATCCAGAAGTAAGAGGAGCCTGAAGTTGTGTGTATCTCCGTTATTTTTATACTCATATGCAATGATTGTCAAAATGATAGCCAATTCCTTCCTTCCTTCCTCCTTTCCTCCCCCTCTTCTTTCCTTTCCTCCCCTCCTTCTTCCCTCCTTCCCCTTCCTCCCTCTCTCCCTCCTTCTCTTCTTTCTCTTGCTTGTCCACACAAGACAAACAGCACTTCATACCCTTTCTCCCCCTCCCCCTCCCCATCTGCTTCCTGATACTGAGTTTCCCACAACTGCATCTGAAAATACTAATTGTGTGATGTGTTCCATTTTTAGCAAGCTGAAGCCAGTTTCTTAAGTATCTAGCTAAGAAAAATTGCCTGCTGTATACATCTATTTTTCTAAAGTATGCTGGACACGTACAACTCAACGCCTACAGTTCTCCAAACAGGAATTCAGGAGTATGCTCCAACAAGAGGCCCGGTAATGGCTTAAAGCAAAGCTTGATATCACCGTTTGTGGT